CGCGTGATTGCGAGACATTCTTCCCTACGATTCATTTTGGGATCGGTGACCTGTATCCAAAATGCCTCGAGGGTTTTACGCGCGCACACTTGCGATTCCTGTGCTACGACCTCCACAATGACCTCAAAATCGCCTCCGTTATGCTTCTGAATTCGGTAACTCCCTAGGGCAGTGGACTTTTTCAATCTTCTCATGCCGTCTATGTGCTCCTTGACCCTCACGTGAAGTGGTCTTGCTGTTTCTCCAATATACTCATCACCACACTCCCGGCAAGTAATTCTGTAGACCACTCCAGACATGTTACAGTCACCTTCCCTTCCAGCTGGACAAACCAGGAAGGTTGATCGGATAATCACAGATTGTTATGATCCTTTCAGGCTCTAAAGAAGGCGATTCCGCCGAAACGTCAGCCTAATAAAGGTTATTTAAAAACCTCGTGAAGAGTTCAAGACAGCAACAAACTCATGTAATCTGTGTTCGCTTGTTTTGAAGGCACAGGTCACGGTAATTTCGAGGTACCCATTTTGAGTGAAACAATGAAAGTATAGTGCAGAATAGCGCAAGGGTGGAGAAGAAGGCGCGAAAATTGTTGGATTACAAAAAATATAAGAATATTTAAAAAAGTAGCGATAAAGGGGGTTGTACTAATGTCCCTCATTCAAGCGTACTACTCGTCTCCTTCTGTCAATAATGCAGTAAAAAAAGGCGAACATAACAGGGCTACTTGGGTGTCTACGTCGGTCAAACGGTTTTGGAGCCCCTATTACGCCCTGCCTACAACGTTTTTCGGCCCGACAACGGCCCACTTATTACTACTACTATTCTTGGGGCCACAGATCCTCCCTAGCGAAAAATCTCAGAAACCATCTTTATCGTACGTTGTGCTTTTAAGTCCACCTGAAATCGTCCTTATGATCCATTTAGACAATCGTTTGGCAAATTGGAAAGCAGATTTGAGCTGGTAAGCACAAAATGCACTTGAATTAAAAACGGCGCGAAATACACTCGAACTGATAAACATACGGAGGGCCTGCTGGCGGACGTCATCTCCATCCATGCTGATCCTGAATATGCGTGGCTTGCCACCTGAGCACGAGTGATTTCCTCTATAAAATTTGAAGCATTATAAGAGGGGATGCTTACAGATGTTACACACTCCTTTTGGTAGACAAATAAAATTTAGAAACTATGAGCTAATTCGAACATTTTTATGAGCGAAGGATGATTACTTATGCTTCTTGCCATATCATTGCTCTTGAGAACGAAAAAAAAAGCAAAAACGCACAAAAAAGAAGACACCCAACATTTCAAAAAAAAAAAACTCTGCAGAAAAGGGGCGCTGTGAGTTGTTGGTTCGAGCCCGTCGCCTATTCCGTAGCTTTCGGCCACCTTAAAACTTTTCGGTTGGATCAGTTTCAAACGTCAATTAATGTTATACGACGATACAAATTTTGAAAAGTGCCGACACATTCTTCGCAAATGTAAGATGTGTGTGGTAACGTATTTGTCTATGCAATAACTTACGGAAGCCCGTCGACGAGCAGCTCAGTGCTTTCATTAATCCAGAAGAATCCCGTACCAGTTGAGCTGTGTGGAACTCATGCCCAACGGGGTGCCGTAAAAAGTCAAAAATGGTTGAGCACAAAATGTATGGATCAGATTCGAATGATTGCAGCACAGTTTCAATGGGTAAATGCGATCATTGCGCTTTGATACCGCGGAACTCAATAAAAAACTAGTTGCACCCATGTGGCCTCTGTAAGAGTTCGGACAGAAATGTAAAATCATAACCTACATGATCATTTTCATCCCATCAAAAGCCAGCAACTTCAATCAATATGAAGCGAAATTACAAAGATGGCGTTCATCACGACTACTTTTGATCAACCTCTTCAACTGATTTGAGCAAGAAGGAGACGCAAGGGAGTGTTTCAACTACTATGGGATCATTTTGACTGTCCACACAATGAAGCTCTATGAGCAGTTAGTCGACCCAAGGGGCACCCTCATCTCACAAGAGCTCTTCGGCTTCATGCTAGATAGATTAACAGCGGATGCCATCCCGTAGCTAATAAGTGAAACAGAAAAATCAAGGAAATCATAGATTCTACGACCTAGCCTACCCTGAGACTATCTGGCCAACTTCGAAAATAATTCAAAAATACGCCATAAATTCAGATTACGACTCATTTCTAGAGTCGATTCGTAACGGATAATTAAATAGACTGTGAATCAAGGTTAGTAGATAAATGCTTCTAAAGTCATGATTCACTAGATCGAGTTTTGTCGACCATCCTTACTATATATAATCCACAAGTTTGGTGTGTCTGTTTGTATGT